GAAGATCAAATGGGATTCCAGCTCCAGCTGCAGATGGAATGACAATATACCAAGACAGAAACACCTATATTTTGATTTACAAAGCTAACAGCAGTTTTAAATCTGCAACGTAATTACAGACCAACTACACCACAACTTTTTCAAATGGCAAAAATATAAAAAAGTTAAGTGTTACAAAAATATTTCAGAAAAGTGCACAGTCTATGTGCATAGTAAATAAGAGCACTGAAAAACATCTTGCTAGAGGGAGTTCAGCTTGGAAAAGTTATCACCAAAGCTAAACATTTTTATTTTATACAAACTATACTCAAAAATAGCTTTATGAGACTGATTTCTGGCTAAAAGTATCAAAGGGTTTTTAATCAAGAAAACAAATTATCTTAACTCACAAAGGTGAATAGAAAAGAAACAAGGAAGCTTGCCTACCCCCAGAAGTTCGTACTCATTAAGATTTCTCCAATATTATGGTACTAACACACATCCCTAAATCATAAAATATGGTGATCATGAAAATAACTATTGCTAAAGTATATTTCAAATGAAATAATAATAAAAACCTAACAAATACAAATTAAACCTGACAATCTGACCAAACAGTATCAAATTACAGTTTCAAGGTTATGGTACAAAATGCCCACATTTACACAATAGGCTCGTGGCTGCGTTTTCACACAAATGTTTTCTTAATTTATTCTGACATGCTACAAATGAATAAATTACACGATTTAAAGAATTACCCTAAGTTTTCTTTCTCTTGGGTTAGAGAAAAAGAGTTCAGAAATAAGATTTGAAGAGAGGAAACCCACAATAACCTATGGAAGTGGGTGGGGCCAGGAGGGTCCACAATCACATGAGTCTCACATAGTGTGGTGCTCTCCAAGAACAAGATTCAATCTCGTTAGAATTATTTCACTAACATTTTAAAGAAAACTTTCTTTCATAGTTAAACCCTTTAACACTTTTATTCTTAATAAAATCAGTCCAGCTGTAAAGTCAGAGGCAGCAGGAGTTACAATACCATGTCCTGGAATTGGCAGAACTAGGAATTGTGGCTGCAAGTCATTTTAAGAGGAGGGAGAGAAAAAAAAAGAAAATGAAAGAATGCCTTTCCCCTTCAGACCAAAAACAATAAATTTACAAAACTTTAAAACAAACAAAACAAATTTTGAGAATAGTTGTTAACACTAAATCAAAAATGATTTATAAAGGAACATACTTAACAAATGGCTTGAAGTAGTCTATTAAAAAATTGGGGAGATCTTGAATTCATAGTAAGTTAGCAAGGCATTTTTGTTGTTTCTTTTTTTTTTTCAAAAAATTTCATATCCTTACAGAAACAGTTTTTAGTTTTTAATGAACTTGTAAACAAAAAAGCTCCCATTTCAAAATAAAAACAAAATCCCAGATCATATAGATGTTCACAGTGATTACATTTATCTAAGCAACATACATACATGTTCAGTTGTAAGATGGTAACTAATTTTCTGTGACAAATATTGGGGTTTTTTTCCTTTAATACCAAGAACATTATAGAGTTAATGCAGAGTCCTAAAGATAATCTAGTAGTCACTAAGTTTCTTAAATCTTCACTTTAGATGCTGTTATTCTAGCACAGGTTAGCAGGCAGTCTTTCATATGCTCAAACACTGGAATCTTTGGTTGCTACCGTATCAGCTGACTTGCAAACAAGAAGCCAACCATTTTGAGAATGTTTTAAGTGAACAACTTGCAAACCCCAGGGATGGAAAAACCCTAAGAATGCACAATTGTGAGCATTTACAACCATCACAACTGTGGCTGAAGACTGTTCATGCTGTTCTTCTGAAATGACATCTCAAAGCAGTATAGTTCAAAATAAAAGGCTTTAACAAAACAATTGGCATATGCACAATTTCTCCACCAATTTGTGTCAACCATTTAGTTAACTTTTCCACTTGAAAAAATGCAATAGAAAACTGGATGCCATGTTTCACTATCTCAGTTAATATTCACAATTACAGCGGCTACAATTCAGGATACAGCATCACCAGCGCTGCCCAGAGCCAGTTTATACTGAAATTAAGTTCTTTACACCAAGTAAATGGTTGTCCACAACCACTGGCTAGTGTACATATGAACTAAAATTTCTAGATTTTGGGGAGAAACAAATGCTGCTCCAATCATCTGCTCTGCTTCTTCTGTTCTTCAATTCATGCTTAGAAATCTTTCATGTTACTCTTGGTTTTGTCAGTTTGCTTGCCTGTGGGGGTTTGGGCCTGCTGACCCTGCCCACTGGAAGAGGCCGCCTGCTGTGCTGCTTTCTGCTTTAACATTGTCCAATCAAATGTGTAGTCATACTGATGGTTCAGGGTCCTGAAAAGAATGCGGAATAGCTGCCTCAGGTACATGTAATCTGGAGCTTCCTCAAAGTGCAAACCACGACAATAATTTAAGTACATGGCAAATTCGGCAGGAAAGCCTTTACATAAAACTTCAACAGGAGTGGTCATCTTTTTTTCACTAATCTTTTCATATTTTTGTTTCTTTGTTGCAGCCTTTAGTCCTTGCCATGGCAGGCTAGTTCTATTAAAATACATCAAAACATATCCTAATGATTCCATGTCATCTCGGCGACTCTGTTCAATACCAAGATGTGCATTGATGCTAGCATATCGGGCAGTGCCAGTAAGATTTTGATCTTCTCTGTATGGTATGTGTTGTCCTGTCCTGTTGTCTCTGTACTTTTTGGCCAAACCAAAATCAATAAGGAATAACTGGTTTAATCCTGAGAAAGATGGGTCCTGATAAGTATTAACAGTCATGCTTCTTTTCCTCTTCCTCTCTGGAGATTCTGAACACTTATTACAGGGACGCCCAATACCCATTAGGAAGTTATCTGGTTTAATGTCTCTGTGTATAAAGTTCTTTGTATGCACATATTCAATTCTACTGATCATCTGGTCGGCTAACATAAGTACAGTTTTCATTGTGAACCTTCTTGAACAAAAATTGAAGAGGTCTTCAAGACTGGGTCCAAGAAGATCCATGACTAGCACATTGTAATTTTTTTCTTGACCATACCATCTTATGTGCGGGATGCCGACCCCGCCTTGGAGGATCTTATAGAGCTTGCTCTCGTTCCGCAGCTGCGGATGCCGCGCCTTCTGCGACTCCACCTTCACGGCCACTTCCTCGCCGTTGGTGATGTTGATGGCCAGGTAGATGTCCCCGAAGGATCCGGACCCGATCTTGCGGACCAGTTTGTATTTCCCTCCGACAATGAATTCGGCCTTGGAGCCGCTGCTGCTCGCCATGGCTGAGAAACGAAGATGGAGGGCTGGGGCCAAGCCCCAACACCTACGAGGGGAGGACGGGGCTGGTCCACGGAGCAAGGCTGCGGAGGAGGGCAGACGAAACGGAGGGGGGGAAAACACCAAACACCCCCCAGACCCAAAGGCCCTTCGGCGGCGTCACAGGGCACACAGTCGGCCCAGGACCACCTGACCTGACCGCCGCCACTCAAGTCAGGGTTCTTTTTCTGCCAGGCCGCAGCTTCTGGGGTGGTTCTCACAGTTCAATAGACGGGGCCACTTACTTCTGAACGGCTGCCTCTGCTTCGCTTTCGCGGTGACTCGCCGCGGGATGGAAAAGGCGCGCTGTGTGAGGGCGGCACTACCGCTGCCACCACTGCCGTCGGTTCCCGCCCGGAGGAAGCCTGTCACTCAGCCGTCGCCGCCATCATGTTCCTCTGGCTCCAACCAACACAAAACGCCCCCAGTCTCTGGGAGCCGCTTCTTAACGGCGCAGAGCACTCTGGGAAAGCGCGAGGGCGGAACTGGATCCGTGAGAGCCCACGTGGCACTTTCAAAGCACAAGGTTCCACTTCTCGGCGTTTGATAGATGCTTTGTCACGGTGCTGTTGCCTGGAATCAATTAGGAAGGTCTCCAGTCGCTAAACCTGAGAGCTTTCCTTTTCCACTGCTGCTTCTTTTCCAAAAGTGCTGGCTTGGCCTGGCCCGTTTTAAGGCCCTATAAGCCTTCCTCTTTTCTAGATTTTCTGGAACCAAAGGTTTTGTTTTTGTTTTTGTTTTTGTTTTTCCTTGTCTCTTCCTCTCTCATTTTTTCAATGCTGCAGCTTCTGCTCATGCCTTCTAAGAGGATTTCATATGCACATACAAATGGTCTGACTCCTAGGAGAGGGGGACATGTGAGTACTTACCCCATGCACAAATACATTTGAGAAATTGCTATAAATCACACAGATGGCCATGCCCTCAAATGTCATTTTTAAATGCCACATGAGATAGTTATGGCAAAGCACCACCTAGATAGGCCTCAAGGTACTGCGAGTTTCCTGAACCTGGTTCATTAACCTCTAGGGAGGCTGCTTCCTGAAGTGAATATTGTGAGAGTGGAAAAAGAATAAGTAACACAGGCAGAAGGATGGTTAAAGGCAGAATACAGTTTATTAAGAGACACTTTCAGAAGATGAGAGTGGGTCTACCTCAAGAGATGGGACTAGACCCTGACCTCCTCTGAAGCCTTCAGCTGTTATGTAGGTTTGGGCACTCCCTGGTTCTACTTCCACACTCTGCCTCAGTGGACTTCCAGTTCAACCTCATTGGCCCTGACTGACTGGGTCAATTGTTGGCAGGCAAGGATTGGCTCCATTGGCTGCTGCTTGGTTTCATCTCTTGGTTTTCCTCTGGGCTTTCATGGCCACCTTCTCCTATTTTTTTCTCTGGCCCTTATCAGCTATGTAATGCTGTTGTAACAAACTTAAGTTAAAGTAGTTTTAAAAACTAGAAATTCATTTTTTTGTGGCTTCTCAAAAACGCAAATTCATTGCCATTGAGTTGGAACTGACTCATAGATGACCCAGTATTGGGTTTCTGAATTTGTAAATCATGTCGGAGGAGATCTCCCATCTTTCTTCCAAGGATGTGAATCTCTAACAAGTCAGCAATGCAACTCCCTATGAAATCAGGCACACCGCCTTTGTTGTTGACTCTCATCTTTTGCTTTCTTCATGTCTGATGTCCTTGATAGCATCCTATAGCTCATTAGCTCTTCAATCATTATTCAAAGCATCAAATCTTTCCCCGACATGCCCCTTAAATGGTAGAGGTCACAAGACCCAAAATATATGTTCTAATTTCTCTCTTTTGTTTCCTACAGAGCCAATGAGACACTTTACTGAAAACAGCTTACTTTTTATATAATGTAAAAGTTATAAATTTATATTTTCCCTTCCCCTCTTTTCCAGTTAACATTATTATCATGTACTTCCTCCTCCGTGGTGTAAGAAGATTATTTCAATTAGTACTAGTAGCTTCCCCTGATCCCTGTTCTCCAGGTGACTGAGAGGAAGTTTTTGGGTTTTTTCCATCCTTTTCAGACTTAACAATGTGCATTGTAGGTGGATAGATGGTAAGTGAATATTGTAGAGCTATATTAGGAGTACAGTTAGAATGGTAGTTTGTGTGGTGCTTATAACTTCTCATTTTTCAAAAGAGAGTATAAAAAATACACTGATTAAACTGCTGGTGGGATTATAAAATGGTACAACTACTCTGGAAGTAAGTTTGGTGTTTCCTCAAAAAGCTCAACATAGAAATTCTGTATGGCCCAGCTATTCCCTTCCTAGGAGTTGTTTGTTGTTATATGCCATCAAGTCTCCTTGACCCATAGTGACCCTATGTACACCAGCTCTGAAGCCTGCCCTGTCCTGAGCTAGTCTCATTGATTCCGACACACCAATCCCCATTGTTCCAGTTACTGTATCAATCCATCTCCTTATGAACATGATGTCCTTCAAGGGTCAGTCTCTTCTACCCACATGCCAAAATAGTGTGAGACAGAGCTTCAAAACCCTAACCTCCAAGGAGAAACTTGGTTTTATCCTCTCCAAGACAGACCTATTTTCTTGGAGGTCCATGGTATGTTCAAGACTTTTCTCCAGTACTACAAGTCGTTGTCCAACTCTGATGCCTAGCAAGTAATTGTGAAGACCATGGCTTGGATTAGACACGCCTTAGTCTCTAGACTGACATCTTGACTTTTGAATACTTCGGAGAAGTCCCCCAATTCATCTTTTGATTTCCTGACTGCTGGTGCCCAGAGTGTTGATTGTGGAGCTGAGCAAGCTGTAATTGTTAACAACCTCAATCTCTTCTTCATCTACCATAGTACTGCTAATTGGCCTAGTAGTGAGAATCTTTGTCTTCTTGATGTTGAGCTTCAATCCATATTGAAGACTACAGTCCTTGAGCTTCTGCAGCAAGCACTTCAGGTCCTCTTCAGTTTCATCTTCAGTGTCATCAGCATAACATAGGTTGTTGATGATTCTTCCTCCTCAAGACAATTAGAACTGAGACACAAATAGAGATTTGTACACACCTATGTTTATAACAGCATTATTTACTATCACAAGAACATGGGAACGGCCCAAATGTCCAATGGCAGTTGAATGGATTGAGAAATTGTGGTACATTCACATGATGGATTACTATGCAATACTCAGAAGGAATAGTTTTAAAAATTACCTCCTAACTTGGAGGAACTGGAAAGCATTATGCTGAGTAAACTAACTCAGTCTCATGAGGACAAACACTACATAATACCATTATTGTAGAAAAAGATAGCCAGTAGAACCCAAGGAAGAGAGGGTGGGAGCAGAGGAGTGAGGATAGGCAGGGGGAAATCACAGGGTTGCACAATTTGTTAAGTGGAGGGAGGGATGGATAAAGGAAATGGGAAAGATCCAGCAGGTATCTGGAAAGACAGGTAATGGTGGGCATAGTTAAATGATGATTAATTTTATAGAACATAATGAATGGGAATGATTGTGTGAAGCACAATGTGAATGAAGGATAGCACAAAGAAATATGTGCAATAGTGTTAGCAAATTAATATACAATTTAATATACAATTTTTAAAAAGAATGCTGATTTATCTTTCTTAAAACTAGAGTGAAAGTCCAAGTTAATTCCTGTAAAAAATAGACAATTATTAATAGTATATAATGGGTCTCATGGTTGAAAAACTATCAGTATATATGGTAGAGAAGCAGGAACCTGGAAGCTGGCAGGCATACTTGTCTCTCACCTCTTTTTCACCCTGAAAGTCAGAATCATTCTTTTCACTTTCTGGATTGTATTCCTCTTCGGTTCAATTCTCTTGCATTGCAATATATGGCCACAGAGTTAGTTGGGTCCTCTGAAGCAGACACTGAGGTTGAGTTAGGAATACAAGAGATGTTTTTGGGCATAGCATCTGTGAAAGGTGAAGGGAAGATGGATTGGACAAGGGAAATCTTAGGCCATGATAGAGATCTGACATTCATGAAATGAAAGAAAGGAAGGAAGGAAGGAAGAAGCCAGATTAGACAGGAAGATCCTCGGGCTATTATGCCAAACTCACTGCTGTGGAATCAGAACTAATTTATAATGGACCCTCCAGTAGATTACCAAAATTATAAATTACGCAAGAGGAGATTGTCCAATGTTCTCTTTCAGAACTACTGGTGGATTTAAACTGCCAGAGATGAATGGTCTCTGAGTTCTCAGCCTAACTCCAGAGTTCCCTTAAGTTATGCTGTTGTTATGTGCTATCAAGTTGATCCTCTGAACTCTGTTCTATCCTGCACTATCCTCACACTTCACAGCATACAAGTGTACATTGCGGCAGTCACCCTGTCAATCCACCTGGTTGTGGGTCTTCCTCTCATTCACCTACCCTCAGCACCCTTCCCAGCATCAGGTCCTTCTCCAAGGAAGAGCCCCTCCTAGCCCAAAGTATGTGAGGAGAAGCTTCATTGTTATTGCCTTCAAAAAGCTTTCCGGCTGCACCCTCTCCAAGACATATCTGTTTGTACTCTTGGCCATCCATGGGATGTTCAGTGCTCTTCTCCAACACCACAGCTCAAAGATGTTGATTCTTCTTCTGTCATGATAATAATTGTCCAGCTCTCAGATTCATAGCAAGTGATCAGAAAGACCATGGCCTAAATCAGACACACCTTAGTCCTCAAAATGACATCATTACTTCTCAGTAATTTGGAGAGGTCCTTAACTGCAGATTTTCTCAGTGCAATGCATCTCCTTATTTCCTGACTGCTGGTAACCAAGGATGTTAAATGTGGATCCAAGCAAGATGACTCTGTTGACCATTTCAATCTCCTCTCCAACCATCATGACAAATCCAGACCAACCCAATGGAGATTATCTGTTCCAGGTTCTGTGTTGAGTGGAAATGTCTACACTCCACTGTGGGTTTAGTCATTAGTGGGAAAATTGTGATTTGAGCTCAAATTCTGAGGCAGACTTGGAAGGCACCAACAACTGGGACTGCTGTCCAGCCTGATGTCTAATGGTTGCACCCCTTTCCTTGAGGGGATGGTACTGAGAGTATGT